AGAAAGAAAAAAAAAGAGTTGTATGAGCCCCTAATAAAATGATTAAAAAAAGAAAATAAATAAATAAAACCCGAGCTGCCCAGAGTCTGTATCTGACTCTCAGGAAGAGAAGCCACGGGATCTGGAGCTTTAAGTGGCACCCTAGACAAGTCTGAAACCACCAGCCAGGCACCAGCCATGGGGAAGTCCTCCGCTATTTCCCCAAGCACGGATGTCCACGCATTCCTCCCCGCTCCCGCGGTGAGGGGAACGCTGTCGCCCGAGGGCCCTGCACTCACTGCCCACGGGCTCCCCGCTCCAGTTAACCCTCTCCAGATCGTCGTCGTCGTCACCGTCATCCACGAAGTCCCGGAGGCTGTTCACCGCGCGCTTGGACTCTTTCAGCTGCAGGGGGAAACGTGGCAGGGCAGTCAGGCAACCCTCCCAGCTCTCTTTTACAACCCAGAAGGTGGAGGAACCAGGACCTGCCCATGGCCAACCTTCTCCCGCGTGGTAACTGAAGCCAAGCTGCCTAGAGATTTGCCAAGAAAACAGGGCAGCAGCAGGAGAGTTAGGAGGAAGCAAAGCCACTTCTGATTCTCTCATCCTGTCCCAGGCATGGGCTTGTGGGTAAAACCTGCTGAGCTTATGGCCCCTCCAAAACAGAATCCGTCTCATTTGTAAAACATGACCCAATATAGAGAGGAAACATCCAATCTAGTTTATCTTTAAACAGCCATAAATTATAACTCAGGAATAATAGACTTGGGGTCCTTGTGGGAAAAAAGAAAAACACTGAAAGATAAGACAATGAATCTGCTTATAAAGGCGACGTAAGGGCAGACTTGGTGTTCGCAATCCTTCAGTTTTCTCTGCCGCAGGGCTCATTTTCCATGGACTTTCTCCTAGGATCTGATCCAAACCTTTCCAAGCTGAATGGCAACATGGTCAAAAGCCAGGTTCTCTCAGCTACAAGAGGAAAGGATGTTCGCATGGCACTGTGGAGGGAGGTGTGCCCGGCAGCAGACCTACCTGTGAGAGCTCGTCATCTTCATCATCAAAGGTGAAAGCCTTGAACTTGGAGCTGTTCCAGTACTCTTCCTCATCGCCCTTGGTCCTACTCATCTGGATGGGAGGAAGACAGAGAAGTCTGTCCCAAGCTCAGCTCCCCCAAGGAGCATCACGGCCGGTTCTATCACAACCCCCCACGGCCGGAGATCAGGGGAGTGTGAGAGACTCGGAGAGAGCAAGCTCCAGAATCAGACCACTGTGTCCCTGAATGACCCAAGTGTCCTTTGGATCCTTTCATTATCCAAAAACACCTTCGTTCCTACTTTGGCCCAGGCACTCTCTCAGACAAGTGATGGTTCTGATCCTGCAGGCGACCACGACTGAGCCTAAGTGATTGTGTGTAAAGCTACATGTGAAGCTCATAGCACAAGGTAGGCAAATGTTATGAAAAAGGAATCTCTGCCAACTTTGCTGAATGCACAGAGACCAATCAAAGCCGGATCCACTGCTCTAGGCTCGGGGGTCCTGCAGTGACCAATACGGAGGAAAGTCTGCTCTGGCGTACGCTTCGGTGCCTGAAAGAATGAAAGCAGAACTATTTTCAAAAGCAGAGTGAACCTGTCTTGCTGTGTCAATTATTAAAACATAACACAGTAAATAAACACACACACTGATATGTTTAAGTTTAATTAGCCTGTCGGTACCTTTAAGTCTTCAGTTCATGATCAATTCACTAACAACTTTTGGTCAAAATTTGGGAAGCGACGGTAAGTTTTTCTGTCCTTCTCACTGACAACAGTCAGTCCGACACAGAGCCGCCTGTAGGAGATGAGAACGGCCCCGTGGGTTCTGGGGCTGTCATTTTTCACAGGAGTAGGAAACCTCATCTTTCTCCCCTGAGCGGCTGGTAGTTTCAAACTGCTGGCCTTGTGGTTAGCAGCCCAGTGTATAACCACTCTGCCACCAGGGCTCCTCAAGTAATGGTATAGACAAGGGAAGAAAAAAAAATATATCTATATATATAGATATATATGGAATTAATCAAAGACCACAAATCCTTCTGATAACTACTTTAAAATTAGACTTTGCCCTGAAATAATGCTTTGGCCTAGAATTATACACTAAACCATCAATTCCAACTGAATTAGGGTACAAATAATGACTTATGCCAAGAATGAGGTACCAAAAACTCCATAGCACCAGAAATAACTCTAAAGGCCGCGGAGTTCACGTTTTAATGGATCAAGTTGCTTTTCCTTTCATTTAATAACACTTTCTCAGAGGAAGCTCGAGAGACACTCATCATGGAAACCCTGTTGCAGCTTCCACTGTGTCCTACTTCAAGACGCGCTTCACTTGCAACTCGGGGGATTCACACAAGCAGGTCCACTGCCAGAGTCCATTCCGACTCACAGCAACCCGACAGGACAGAGCGGAAGTGCCCCTGAGGGTTCCTGGGGCTGGAAGTTTTTACAGGAGTAGAAAGTCTCACCTTTCTCCCTCAGAATGACTGGTGGTTTCAAGCGGCTGACCTTGTGGTTCACAGACCAACACAAAACCTACTACACCACCAGGATTCTCCCAGGGGGCCCCGGGGAAGCAAATATATGGAGATAACTTCTCATCTGATCCCTTCCTATGGCAGACATTGCTAGTTGATTGTTACTGAGCCCAGAAGGTGGCTGAATTTTTCTAAATTTCACTCCAGAGACTCACAACAAAATAAATAAGATTAGGCAGAGAGGATAGAATGGTGCCTCTTAGCTATACAAATCGGACAGTCTCCCACTATAAAGTCTTGGTTTCTCCAACTCTGAGCGAACTAGGTACATACCATATGTACTCGAGTATAAGCCTACCCGACTATCAGCTGAGACACCTTATTTTACCACAAAAACTGCATAAAAAGTGTGCTGAAAAACTCGGCGTATACAGGAGTATATATGATAGTCTACTTCTAACTCTTGGAGAAACAATCTCCTAAATCCCAGGGCTGCAGTAAACGGGAATTCTGTTGTTAGGCATTGAGTTGGTTCTGACGAACAGTGACCCTATCGACGTGTAACAGGTCACCGCCTGGTCCTGTACCAGCCCCTCAATGGTGCTGCACTCACGCCCATTGTTAAAGCCACTGTGTCAGTTCATCTCGCTGAGCGGCTTCCTCGTTCCCCCGACCTTCTATTTTACCAGTATGATGTCCCAGAATAATACGAAAATAAAGCCGCTAACAAAGGCCTTCACCGAGCCAAAGAGTCAATTCTGACTCTGAGCAGGCCTATAGGACAGCGTAGAACTGCCCCTGGGGGTTTCTGAGGCTATATATCATTAGGGGAGTAGAAATCTTCATCATTATCTGACAGAGAGGCTGTTCTTTCAAACTGCTGACCTTGTAGTGAGCGGCCACCACGCCTTCAGGACTCTCCCAACCAAGCGCCTAGTGGAGTGAACATTGAGTGCTAGTTTCTTTTCATACGGGACACCTCACCGACAATTTACTGTTTCAGCTTCCCCATCTGAAACCTACCTCCCAGGGCTCTGGGAGGATTAAACAAATGGCACACCTAAAACACTCAGTACCATTCACTTTCATGTCAATGCCGGCATATGTTGCGTAGTACGATTGCTCCTCACAGGGTTTTCAGGGGTGGGATCTTTTGGATGTAGGTTGCCAGCCCTTTTTTCTGAGATGCTTCTGGGTGGATTTGAATGGCCCATCTTTCAGCTCATCGCAATGCACTTAATATTGCGTGTACCACTTGGGGGGCTCCTGAAACAGAACCCACTGCCATCGAATGGATGCTGACCCACACTGACTCTAAGTGACGTTTGCAAGAGGTTAAGTCTTTACAGGAGCAGAGAGCCCCGCCTTTCTCCTTCAGAGCAGCTTATGGTTTTGAACTGCCAAGCTAGCAGTTACTCAGGCCGTTATTGTCCCACGGCGTCACCGGGCCGGCTTCCCTAAAATAATACTGGCCACGAGATGAAAGCTCACAGTTTACTTTGATTACTACTGAATCATCACGGCACGTTGGAAAAAGCTAGAAATAAGATATTTCTAAACAATTCTGAAGGTAATAATATTAATAATAACTTAATATAACATTTCCAAGATTGAACATCACAAACATCAACAAAGAGTACAGGGTATACCTCTATCTGGTGACGCGTGGCAATTTCCAAAACACCCTGTCACTCAGCAGGTGCTCAGAACACCCTCGAATACACACCTGCCGGATGTCACCTCCATTACACCAAGGCGGAAATTGAGCACAAAGGACTGAGTATTAAAGTCACTTTGTTCATTCCTCTTACTCCAAACTACAATTCAGGCTCTCTGGTTCCAAACCTTTTCTCTGTCTTGGCTAGTCCTTCACACTACCGCATTCATTCAACATTGTAAATCTCTACAAACACCAAAACTCTATAGTCTACCAACAATCTGGAAATCTCAATCGTGCGGTGGCTATTGGATACTCAATACCAAGTTGTACTTCTAGCATCAATGATAACCTTAGATTTACTGGGCAAGTAAAGAGAGGATGATTTAAAGGTCCCGGAGGTTATGAAAAGGCGCTCGAGTGGTACACTGCATTATGCTTTGAGCCACTAATAGCAAGGTCAGCGAGTTTGAACCTCCAAGACGCTCTGCCGGAGAAAGACGAGGCTTTCTGTTCCTGGAACGATCTACAGCGTTGGAAATAGACGTGGCAGTTCTACTCTGCCCTACTAGGTCCAATGAGTCAAAAATGGACTCAACGGTAATGAGTTTAGTTTGGAGAAGGTACCAAAGGAATTCTGGTGGTGCCGTTCTGAGCTCTGTTAACCAAAAGGCAGGAGAAGTAGAGATTGGATCTCAAAGATCACAGCCTTGGAAAGGCTCTACGGCAGTTAAGATTCTGTCTAATCAAACTTGAGTCGTGGAGACCCTCTTGGGTTTCCGAGACTTTAAATCTTTCCAAGAATAGTCTCCCCTGTTTCCAACAAAGTGTCTGGTGGGTTTGAACAGCTGACCTTGTGGTTAGCAGCTCAGCCCACTATCCCACCACTTCTCGGAATTGCAAAAGGCTTCACCTACCCACAACTGAACTTACAAAGTGCTAGGCAACGTTTAAGAGTGACTGAGGAAGGTGCTTCAACATGATTTGAAATACTTCAGAGATGTGTCCTCTTAATGAGGACCCACAGGTAAGGTGGTCGAAGCTGCACACAGCCCACAAAGGAAGACGACAGGGGATTAAAAACAAAAAAAAAAACACGCCCAAGATGCTCCCTGCCTCTGGACACCCCTGTTCTTAGCAACTGGGAAGTTAAATTCTGATTCGGTGATCACCTTCCCAGCCAAGCCTACACAGGTAAGGCTGGTGAACGAAGGCCGGGGAATGTGGGTTAAAATGTGGGCGTCTCTCTACCGTCCAGGAAGCGGTCTAACACGGTCGCCAGAGCCTGACAGATCCCGCGGAGAGCCAACGTTCCACCGCGGTAAGTACACTGTTCAGGACCAAACACCGGGCCGCCCCGCAGTCCCGGCACGGGGCGGACCCCTCGGGCGTCGCCCCGACCCGAAAAAAGAGAGCTGGTCAGGGAGTTAGGGACGCCTAGGGGAAGAGGGGGTAAAGGATCGGGATGCGGAGAGGCTGGAAGCAGCCAGACAGGCGGCCCAAGGGGCTTGGACACCCTCACCTCTGCCGCCGCTGGCGCAGCCTTTCTACTCCGCTTTGCAGTGCAGAGAAGGGACGCAGGAGGGAAGGCGGCAGGCCCGTAAGAAAAGGGCCGCGGGGCATGCTGGAAGTTGTGGTTTCTTCCGCCTCTGCCATCAGGCTCTATTGGGACGGGCCGTGGAGCTTCTTGACTACAGCCCCCAAAATCCTTAGCGCCGTGCCCAGGTCGTCAGCGGCCCGGCCTTCCGCGGTTAGCTCTCCGTTCACTCAGAAAGACTACAACTCCCATGGGGCTCAGCAGGGCCGGTTGAGGGCCAGAGAAACCGTGAGACGCGTCCCTTGTGTCCTTTCGGGTGCGGGGCCCTCAAGTGAGGAGTCAGATTGGAGGCTTCTTTAGGGAAGGGACTTGAAGGAACGCTAGAACAGGCGGAACCTACCGTCCGGCGAGTTGGAACGGAAGTAGCCGGTGGGGTTGGGGAGGAGCCGGAAGTGATACGGGAGGGAGTGAAGGGAGGAGGGAAAAGCAAGCCAGGAAGGTTTGCGGCCGCTTCTAGTAGTTTCCAGGCGCTGCTGGGCGACCGGGACCGGGCGGTCCTGAGGCGGTGGCTGTGGCTGCTTGGGAGCCGGTGGCGGTGAGATCGAAGAGCCGATGGCCAAGTGGGGTGAGGGCGACCCACGCTGGATCGTGGAAGAGCGGGCGGACGCCACCAACGTCAACAACTGGCATTGGTGAGGGTCAGCGGGGCAGGCCGCGGGAGCAGTGTGGTTGGGCGGCGTTTGCGGGAGCCCCTGAAGCCTCGGTCGGGACCGAGCTGGGGCCGAGTCAGCCCTGCTCCGAGTTGGAGTGGCCCCTCCTGGGGCAAGGGTCCGGGGCCCTAAGCCCCGCCACCCCGATCTCTGCTTCTGTGTATGGGAAAAGGGTGCTGGCGCGGAGGGGTGCGCCCCGGCGGGGGGCGGGGCAGGATTTCAGAGAACCCAGAACAAAACCCTCAAGCCGCCGCGTTCGTCCTTCCCACACGTGGCCGCAGACAGAAGTACCGGCGTGGGTCGTGTTGGGCTATTGCCGTGTAGGGCTCGGCACCAGGGGCCCGGGAGCCTCCTTTTGTGGCTTCAGTGCGAAATGAAAAGCCGGTCCCAGGGCCTGAGGTTTGGAACACGCTCCGCAGATGCTCAGAGCTCTGGGATGCTGAAGCCGCTGTTGCGGCCTCTCACCCGGAACTATTCTGTGGGTTGTGTTGTAACTTTTAAGGACTGCCCCCGCGTTGCCGGGCGAAGGCCCCTGAGCTTGGTTCGTTCTGTGGTGGCGTTCACGGTGATCTTATACTTCGGTTTGTTGCACCTCTTTGAGCGTGTGCTGTGTCTCCTCCTAGTTTGTACACTGGAAGGCACATGGCTTTTCTTCAGTCGCAGCTTACCTCTCTCAATACAGGGTGCTTAACTTAATTTTGTGTGTGGTATTTGTCTTAAAGACCTGGACTTGGCATGGCTTGCCAGGCCTCGTAGATAGCTCAGACTGTGTCAGGTGTTTAATGCACGGTCTGAATTCGGCTGGTTAGACCCCTGAGTTATAACAAGGTCAAGGTTATTGGTTTATCCCTTACAGGACTATTAAATAAGTACTGCACTTAGGCAGCCTGACCTCAGCAAGATGTGCAAAGTTTTCCACTTGGTTAAATAAGTGCACCATGTTAAAATGGCAAATCATGAACCGCACACCATCGTGCTGGGAAAGAAAAGCCTAGTTTCCCATTTAGTTTGCACCGTTTTGCACAGCAGTGGCCCCTTCCATGGGAGAAAGAGGAGGCTGTGTCTGTTCCTGTGAAGATTTCCAGCCTCGGAAACCTCTTGTAGGTTCGCTGTGACGGCAGTGGGTTTGGATTTTGCTTGTATCTTTTTCCTAAAGAGTGAGGGGGTGGGGGGTGGGTACAGACAGACTGCAGAGCGGACCTCGGGGTTTTCATGCGCTTTTCAAACTGTTGTTTGTCAGCTGCTGTTTCTCATGCCCTCTTGGATGGAGCAAGCAGTGTACCATCATCTGGCTGCCCACCCACTGCTGTGTTTCTGTTTTGCAGGACGGAGAGGGATGCTTCAAATTGGTCCACCGATAAGCTGAAAACACTGTTCTTAGCAGTGCTGGTGCAAAACGAGGAAGGCAAGTGCGAGGTGACAGAAGTGAGTAAGCTCGATGGAGAGGCGTCCATTAACAATCGCAAGGGCAAGCTTATCTTCTTTTACGAATGGAACATCAAACTGAACTGGACAGGTGAGTCCAAGCTGGGCCGCCACGGAAAGGCTTCTGAGGGCCCAGAGAGAGGCGTTGGAGACAGGCCCTGTTGCTTTGGAGGCCTGTTGGGTATTGAAATGTCCACTCTGCCACTTGGAGACGCCTCAAGCCCCGCCAGTGACTAGGCTCTTGTGTCTCTGGGGCTTGGTGTAGGTGAGGACATGTAAGTGACCTGCCACGTCCTCAAGGCTGACTTCTCTCTCAGGGGATTTAACAGGGGAGTAGGGAACATCCCTCGTCTTGGTCTTGTCGAGGGAGGGTCTAAAGACTTAGACCACGTGCAGAAGGTGATGATGTGTGACTTGGATCTGGGCTGTTTTACTCTCTAGTTTCACAGCTCTTTCCTTCAGGAAAGAAGCAGGGACCAGGCTTGTGTGTCCTTGACTGGTCCTGCCAGCTGTGGGGCTGAATCTTAAAGAGTGCTAAGGCAGCATGAGATAGCTCCTGTCTGTGTGGGACAGGTTGTGAAAGAAAATCTGGGCTTCTCTAAGCATCTTTCAAAGGAATGGAGATTCGGAGGGAAGAGGTTGATAAACATGTCTGTCTACCAACCAACACCTTTCCCCAAGAAAAAGATTGTTGTTGTTTTTTCTTTAAAGTAGACCTAAAATACAGTAGTCTGGAGAAAACTTTAGGTATTATTTTGTCCAGTATTTTTATAGAGAAACAGGCCTAGAAAAATGGAGTGTAATCAATGTCTTGCTGATTAAATTTGAAAGCCAATTCATTTTTTTATTATGGCACATGTTCTAAATATTGCTGTGCTCTGTGAACCCTCACCAAAAACTGTAGGACTTAAAAGAGAGGTGTGTGTTGGGGGGGTCAGGGGGTGAACCTAATGAAAATAGCTGTGCAGGTTTACATGTGAACTCATAAATACATAATTACTACAATAAAGGTGGCACTTTACATGGAAACAATCCAAAGGTTACTTTGGAAAGAGGGTATTGGAAGGGCTGTAACATTTGAGTAACAGGGAAGTGGCAGAAGGAAGGGTGTCAAGAATTGGAAAGGTGGTAACAGCAAATGGGAGAGTGTGAGGGGGCTCCTGATACCATGTCCCATGAGCCAATCTGGCTGGGAAATAGGGGTTTGCTCACCCCATGTAGCTCAGTCCAGCTCGGTGCAGGTCTCTTAGTGTACCTGGTCTTCTCACAGGCAAAGCTGGTTCCCTCACATCAACCTCATCGGAAGAGATTGGTGTTTCCCAAACAGCTTTGAACCAGTTCAGCCATGGCCCATGCAGGGAAATTGGAACAGACCTGAATAGGAACGTGTCAGACGGGAGAAGACATAGAATGGGGAACTTGGAAGAGGAAGAGGCTCCTGACCGAAGCTTGGCTTATTGGCAAGACATGGTCTGCCACCATCTCTGAGCTGGCGACTTTGTTTCTGCCTCTGATGGTCAAGAGAGTTGGTTGCTATGCAACACGCTCCCCATCCTTTGTTTTCTAGGAAGGAGATTATGTTTCTAGCCAGGTGTATCGCCCATGACTTCTCCCATTGTTTACTGTTCCATTACACTCACATGTTTTCAAATTCAGGCCTGTTCTGGTAGCGCTTCATCTGCCATGACTGAACTGGGAAAAGCCAGTTCGAAATCCTGTTTCCAAACATGTTTAAATAGAACGGACTGTGAAGTTGGGTCTCCTCAGCAGACCTGCTGTTGGTATCAGATGCCACACTGTAGCCTGGTGGGGAAAGGCATTTCTTCTGAGGCTGCGTTGGCGGTGTCAGTGGTAGATGGTTAGGGCTCCCGAGCAGCAGGCCCTTTCTGCAGAGGGTGAGACTGACAACCTTTGTTCTTCACAGGGACCTCCAAGTCTGGAGTGCAGTACAAGGGACACGTGGAGATCCCCAACCTGTCTGATGAAAACAGCGTGGAGGAAGTGGAGGTTTGTGCTTCCCAGCTCCTCTCCCCCGTCTTCCACAGCCTTTCTTCACGTGAGAGAAACGACCCTCCGTGGAAGATTCCTATCCACCCACCCCTGCTTGCTCCAAGCCTTCAGAACCCCAGTCGGCAGCTGCTTTGCTAGGTGTCTGGTGACGCTTCCAGAGCAACTTGTGCTGCTTTGACTAGCACTTGGTGTTAGCTGGTGGCAGGGGCGGTGTGACGGAGCACACCCAGGCTTGTTTGAGCGCCTGGTCTGCTCGCATTTCCTCTGGAAATGTCAGCGTGATCTGGCTGCTTAGCACCCACGGTCCACCGTGTGGGCGTCTGTCCCTCAAGTGATTTACCACCTACTTCTGATCTTTCACCCAGATTAGTGTGAGCCTTGCCAAAGATGAGCCTGACACAGATCTCGTGGCCTTAATGAAGGAAGAAGGGGTGAAACTTCTCAGAGAAGCAGTGGGAATTTACATCAGCACCCTCAAAACAGGTACCCTGTGAGTGGTTGCGTCTGCCTTCAGGAGGCAGTCCTCCACCTGTGGGACTCGGAAGGAGGGCTCGGCAGTCCTCTCGCTGGCAGATGGGTAAAGGCATGCAGGGAGGGGGTCCTTGCTCTCAGAGCCCATCTCTGAGCCCTGAGTAGGGGCAAGATGTAGAGCTGTGTGGCCAAACATGGTGGCTGCTGAGCGTGGAAATGGGGCTGGTGCAGGCTGAGACGATCCGAGAGTGTAGGGCACAATGGATTTTGAGGACGAGTACAGGGGGCACACACTAGGCATCCAGGGGTGGTACAAACGGCTATAGCAAGCTGAAGTCAGTCTGCCCCAAAGTACATCTGAAGACAGGCCTGGGAATTGACTTCCTAAAGTCAGCCTTTGAAACCCTGTGGAGCATACCTCGTTCAGCAGAATTGGTTTTAGGGAGTACTCCGTGATTTTAAAAAGCATAAAAGATCTCTTAAAAGATTGGCATATTTAAAAATTTTAGAGGTGTGTTATTGAGATACATTTCACTTCTTTTTCTTCTTTAATGTGCTTACTGGCAATTTTAGGTTCTACTTTAAGGCTGACACAGTGTGGACAGTGCTGGTCTAGAGACTTAGCATCAGGACTCACTGCTTCGGTGACTCCTGCACTAAAAGGGGCACCCCCAGGGAGGGGGACTCAGGTGCTGAGCGAGGCATCAGCTCAGGGTCCCGCTGGCTGATGCTGAAATCAAAGAGCATGTCCCGTTGGCAGGAGCCTGCACAGGCAGCAGTAGTTCCGAGGCCACAACAGGGCCGGGCTGTTGTGGAGGAGCGAGGCAGAACACTCCCGTTGCAGGGGAGGTGGGGGCGGATTTCCTGCTCTTGGGTCAAGGAGGGTCCCAGCTACCCTCTGTAGGTGACCTCTCTGGGTTATAATGTGTTGCAGTGGTCCCCGTTGGGGTTTCAGCTGTTTCCAGCAATCTTGGGGTAGTCTACAGTGAACCTGTGAGAGCCGGAACTGCATGGGACCAGCTCAGTTTTCCGGGTTTTGCAAGTTTCCTGCCTTTTCCAGGCGGCCATCGTGGCGCTTGCTGTTGCTCCTGGTGACGGTGTCACAGGGTCACTGCACGTCCAGTCAACGGCAGTCAGACCGCTGGCTGAAATCAAGGTCCAGGTGACAGGTAGACAGCCTGTCCTTTTCCGGGCCGTTCACTCACTCGTTCTGGGTTAAGATGGCTCGTATTTGTCAAGCGATTTGGAGCCCTGTGTAGCAGCTGCTGAGAAACGCCTTCCAAGAGCTGGACTTTTATCTTCCCAGAGTTCACCCAGGGCATGATCTTGCCCACCCTGAATGGAGATTCGGTAGATCCCGCCCGGCAACCGGCCCTGAAGGCAGAGGAGCGGAAGGTAATGGTGCTCCCCTGTGACGGGCAGGGGTCGAGACACTGCCTCCTCCTTCATTCGGCATCTGCTTGTGATGTTTTCAGGGAGTCACAATAGCGAGTTGGGCATCTAATTCTAACCTGGCTGTGTCCACTTCAAACAGATCCTTAGCATAGACGAGACTTGGAATCAACGGGGACTTAGAGCCTGGCTTTTGACAGTGAGGAGGTTATGTCCACGGGCTGGCCTTCACCTCTGAGCCTTTTTCCCTCACTGTTCATTGTTCACACACTGACATTAGACGCTTCCACAGGATTAGCTCCATCAGGAGGCGACAGGGTGAGCACATTATCTGGGGGTGAAACTTGTGTGGCTCAGGCCCAGCTCTGGGCTGTAAGGTGGGTGCCCTCTGTGTCAGCCCAGTGAAGCAGCCTCTGGAGGTCAGGGGGCGCCGCTGCCAGAGCCTTAGCAACTCCTCAGAAGAACCCCCGTCCTGGCCGCTCTTTAGCTAGTGGGTTTTCAGATGAGCGTCAGGCTTTCCTTTCTCCTAGAAGGACTGGGCGCTGGGATGTTTCTGGGGAAGTTCCCCTGGGGATGAGGAGAGCCTGTGCACAACTTCTCCCCAGCCCCCGAGCACTCTTGCTCTTGGAGCTGGTGAGACGGTACGTGTGAGTGAACTGAACGGCAGGATGTGCACACCGGCTTTGCCGGGACCCTTAGCTGACATGCTCCCTGCCGCTTTCACAGGCGGTGAAGTCGGCTCCTTCGAAAGCCCAGGCCCAGCCTGTTGGTGTCCGAATCCCCACGTGCAAGATCAGCCTTAAGGAAACCTTCCTGACGTCACCCGAGGAGCTCTACAGAGTGTTCACCACCCAGGAGGTGAGTGCCATCCTGCCTGCCAGCCCAGGGGCTGTGGGTGGTGGGCACGTCTTGTGCAGAGGAGGCCCTGATGCCGGCCCGGCAGCTTCCCTGAAACAGGCACGTGCAGTCTCCTCAGGCCTCCGTCGCGCTCTTTCCCTGTTCGTTTGGGGTGGTCTAAGTGGAACCACTGAAGCATTTGTGCTGGAACAGGGAGTGGCTCCAGAGGAAGGGCACCGCGGATTCGGAATGTATTGTGCCTGCTCTTGGTGGGTGCCCTCCAGTCGGTTCTCAGAGTGACCCCACAAGCAACAACAAAAGGCTGCCTGATCCGGCCCCACCCTCACAATCCCTGCTGTGCTTGAGCCCATCGAGGCAGCTGCTGTGCCAGGCCATCTCCTTGAGAATTGTCTTTTCCGCCCACCCTCTGCTTGACCCTGCATGATGTCCTCCAGAGACCGGCCTCTCCTGATAGCATGACAGTCTCACCAGCCATGGTATAAGGAGTGTGTTGGTTTACCTTACCCATGACAGATAGACAGACGGACAGTCCGAGGGGTATGCAGGATAGCTGCCCAGCATGACAACTCAGAAGCATCAGTTCTCTGGGCGCCTCGTTCCTTGTCCAGATCTCGGGCACGTGAGGCAGTCGGAAAAGCTATGGCTGGGGTCAGGTGCAGCCAAGTGCTCACAGGGCCGCTGCATGCTAGCACTTTATTGTTATTATTTTGTATGTTAGCAACAGATTCCACCCCAGAAATGTTTACTTAGTGAACTACATTGGAGTGGAACTGAGTTAGAGGGAGACTCCCTGGGCCTGGCCACTGGGCGGGGCATCGTCACTGGAAATTTGAGGCCTGCAGGTGAAATGAGGTGGTAGCCATGAGAAGCCACCCCCAGGAGTGGGGTCCCTGGGAACTGTAGCCCCAGTGATGAGCCCCGACTGTGCAGCCAGATGTCTGCCCCATCACAGTGGCTGAGGCAGAGACGGGTGGAACAGGAGGCGGGAATCCAGATGGCAGGGAAACCAGGTTCCAGCTCTTTGACTCGCCCCGCCCCTCCTGTCTCCAGCTGGTGCAGGCCTTCACCCAGGCCCCAGCAACCTTAGACGCGGACAGAGGCGGGAAGTTTCAGATGGTGGATGGCAACGTCTCAGGGGAGTTCACTGACCTGGTGAGTACCTGAGCCCCAGGCTCGGTGGGCATGTCTTCTCCTTGGGTCTAGAAAAGCTTCTCCGTAAGCTTTTCATCCGTTTGGTCAGCAAGCCCGTGTTTTCCCAGAGAGGACTGTGGCGTGAATCCCCTGCCTGGCCAGTTGTTTCCTGAGCAGTGGAACGAGTTCTTCCAGGAGAAGAGAGGCTGTAATACGCTGGTGGTTTCTCTTCTGGCTTTTGATTGTGGCACTGAAGCTTCCCTGGGCACAGCTGGCGGGGCTGAAGCAGTTGCTTGCACCTACCCAGAAGCCCCCAGCCCCGTGTGCGCCTGGCCTTCAGTGTGGCACTAGGGTCAGTCACTGAGTACTGCTTCTAGGGTCCAGCTGACACGTGCACGGACATACATACGGGTTTGTGTCCCAACGAGACATTGAAATGTGTCTTCTGGGATCAGTAGGCGGCCGTCTCAGTGGTGTGAGGGTGCCTTCAATCAAAGCAGGCTGCTGGGCCAGTGAAATTCGAGGCAGAGAGGTCAGCTCAGAAAGTGATGGTGACTTGTTTGGGATCCCAATGGGGTACTCTTGCTGGATTCTGTGAGAGGCCCGAGATGGTCATGGGGACTTACTAAGAAGCAGTTTCAAGAAAACTGAAAGCTGCGTGCAGAGAAAAGGGCCAGGAAGGTTGTGCTGGGAGTGGTTTCCCACCGCAACAGCGCCTGCTTGCTCTCCAAGGGGCATGGGGTGGGGGGGACCAACTGGGAGTCGTTTCCCACCACAGCAGCGCCTGCTTGCTCTCCAAGGGGACGTGGAGGGTGGGGGGGGGAACCAACTACTCCTGCTGTCGCCATCCAGACTGCTGTTTGTTCTCCAAACGCAAAGAACATTTCAAAGGAGCAGGATTTGGGTCCCTGAAGATGACGTGTGATATGTAGAAGAGTGCCGAATTCTGCATGGCAGGGCCCTGGAGACGGAAACTCCACCCCTTACATGAGGTGGAGGCTGTGTTAAGAAACGCTGACTTCCTACTCGGGTGTTCTGTCCTAGTACAGGCTTCCAGGACCGTGGCTTAGCCTGGGGGACAGGCAGGTGCTGGGCTCTGGGAGGAGGGCCATTGGGCCCGAGGCTCCTGCCGGTCAGACTTAGGGGAGACTGACCGCCTTGTCCCTTCAGGTCCCGGAGAAGCACATCGAGATGAAGTGGAGGTTTAAATCTTGGCCAGAGGGTAAGCAAGCATAGTGACTTATTGCCACTCTCCCCGCCCCCCTCTCCCCTCCACCCCCACCCGACATCCCCCCGGGGCTTTTTCTTTTCACATGTGGCCAGGAGTCCACATCCCAAGGGGCAGGTGGAATGGTGAGTTAGGCCACCGGGGCTCTTGGCCCGAGGCCCTGAGCTGATGGCCTGCCTCTGCTGGCTTCCCCAGGGCACTTCGCCACCATCTCGCTGACCCTCACCGACAAGGGTGGGGAGACGGAGCTGCGCATGGAAGGACGCGGCATCCCGGCGCCCGAGGAGGAGCGGACGCGGCAGGGCTGGCAGCGGTACTATTTTGAGGGCATCAAACAGACCTTCGGCTATGGCGCCCGCTTGTTTTAGGGCCAGCAGCTGGGAGGCCCCACCGCCCCCATGTCTGTCCGGCTCTCTCCGGACAGGGGCTTTGACTCACAGGATTGCACCATCCCAACCACTAACTAGGGGCTGGGGCCCCTCCCCTCCACATATACTTGGGTTTGTGCATGTTTTCTGCTGGGTGGGATCCAAGGGTGATTTCTCTTTTTTTGTGTACATACGCTAAGTAAACCTAATTTAAAAAACTCATACACTGAAAGATGTATTGATGTGGGTGGTTGGTATTAGGAGTTCTGGTGAGGACTTTGTATTGTACTTAAAAACAACACACCAGGAGGGCTTGGCAGACTGGCCTCCATCCTCGGTGAGTGGATGTCATTTGAGGCACAAGGGATCCTGCTCCTCCCTGGCAGGCTGTCGCAGGGCAGCCACCTCCCTGCTGCCCTCCAGGGAGGGCAGAAACTGCAGGGAGAGGGGCAGCATGCGGGGCTTGCAGCTGCCTTGGCTTTGTGTCCTCTGGTGGGACAGACCATTGCCAGGTGTGGCTGCGAGGCGCAGGGAGATCTCCTCCTGAAGCACCTACTGTGTGCTGGACCGGCTGCTACACAAGGCAGCTCCCTCGCCTCCCCTCCCTTAAACCCAGTGAAGTGGTTTCTCTCATTCCTATTTTATAAGAATCTCGACCTGCGATTTCTTCAGTAACATTTGTCAAATCCAACTGCTAGTGTTGAGCAGAGCAAGATAGGGAAATGAGGCCCCTAACCCAGAGCCCTGCTCAAGCACACGGCTTCACTCACCCCACGAGAGGCTGCAGGGAAATGGTATGAAGGGGCATGAGACATCTGTGGGGAGGAAAGCCCACCGTCTTTCATCCCATTTTCCCATGGACTTTCTTGAAGACCCCCCAGATCTACTCTACTAGAGCGGAGAATCCCAGGCTCCCTGGTATCTTCAGAAAGAGGAATCTACCAGGCTCACTGCCATGGAGCCAACTGCCCCCAAATGAGACATCTGTCAAGTGCCGGGACCGTGGTTCAGAAAGGCTGCCCCATTATGTGAGACCAAGGTGACTACCTGCCAGCAGGGGGCCCACCTTCTGGGACAGGTCCGCCCTGGCTTCCTCCACTCCTGCCTGAGGCAGTGCCCTCTCATGCACACACTCTGCCTTCTGCAGTTACAGCCATTTCCTTCTATTTTTGCCTGTTTTATGAGGTGGTGGTGAGGCCTGCAGGCTAATCCGACCAGCAAGGCTTGCCCAGAACTCTAGTTAAAGTTAGGCAAAAAAATCCATATTGATTTGCATCCTGCAGAGCTTCCACGAGCCCTCGCCAGCTTGCCTTACTCAGACATAACTTACTCACCCTGAGTTCCCCAGACCTGCTTTGCTGTGGACTATGGACCAGAGGTCCAGAAAGATGGCTTTTGACAAGGAGCCTGACCTCTAGCTTGAATCAAGTCAGCAGCCCCTCCCAACAGACTCCTGCATGACACAGAAAGACGAGCTCCCTCCCCGCTCTTTGTGGGAGCGTTACCTGTTCCAGAATATCCAAGACATCTGAGTAGTGATTCTGAACACTTTAGTCCAAAGCAGCCCGTCTGAATCGATGCCTTTGGACTGTGCTGGCCGGGAACCCAGAACACACTGAAGGCCGAAAGGACGAACAAACTGGTCTTGGATAAAGCAGCTAGAGGGGAGGCTGGTGGCTGCAGCCCCAGCCCACTCACTAGACATGCAGACAGGGAAGTACAAGGTGAGGGGCAGCCTGCGGAAGTCTCGGTGAGATGGCATCACCGTTGGTGCTTTAGTTTCAACATTCCCACAAGGTTGGAGCAGGAAGACACAGGACCGGTCCACACCCGTTTCACTAGGTGGCAGCGAGGCCTGCAGGCACAAGGTGGCCAAGAGTTGGTGCTCAGTGGCGACAAGCAACACCTGAAAGCACCTGGCATAGGAGTAGTCCCGGGCAGATGCTCAGTGACAGGCTGTGGCCCCGGGCGGCCATCTGTTCCACATCTCGTTGCTCTTTTCCTGACAGTGTTTTGGCTAGCCTGCCAAACTTAACACAGACTGTACCAAAAAGCCCAAATCAATGCTTTCTAGTAGATTCGGGTTCACAGCAGGGTAGCTAGAACTGCCCAGGCACGCTTCTCAAGACCATACAGGAGAGAAAACCCCATCTTCTGCAGAGTGGCTGCTGGTTTCGAACCGCTGGCTTGAGGTTAGCAAGCCAATGCAAAACCATTACACCGTCAGAGCTCCCTCCGGCCCCGCCCCCCCTCCCCGCCCTGGGCAAAACTAGGCTAGTACTGTTAAAAACAAACCTGTAGATTTGGTTGGCCTTTCGTTTGAATCTCCACTGTGCCACTTCGTAACCCACGGGTCCAGTGTGCCCATCTGTAAAATGGGTGTAAGCACTTCGTGTGCGTCTTCAGGGGATGTGTGGGGAAGCAAATGGTGTGCTGCTTTGACTTGGAAGCCCCCGCTTCTGTCTTGAGCCCAAACTGCAATCTCACTGTTCACCAATTGCAGATCCTCAGCCAAAGTTCCCCAGGTGGAAGAGCCACCTGAACGGACGCATGCAAGGCAGAGCCCTAGAACACCTGAGCGCGGCGGGACCCAGGAATTCAGTTTAATCCGGGCCCCGGGTGATCTGCCGGGTGAGAATGTCGTTTGAAAAGCACCTGGACAGGTCCTTAAAACAAACTGTAAGACAAGGAGCCAATCTGGTCTCTAATGAATAATGGGGCGAAACATAGTCTTCCCAGAGGCGGGGAGCGGTCAGCAGGGCCGGGCAGTGTGCTGCTGGTTTAGGCTGTAGTTAGCGCTGCCAAGTCGATCCGACTCATGGCGACCCGGGCGAGGACCGCAAGCTGTTCCAAAGTGGCGACCTTTCAGAAAACATCACCAGGCCAGCAGCTTGTCCTTTCACGCCACCCAGGGACTCCTGCTGCTGCCTGCTTTAAACCGCACTCAGACTCGATGGGATCAGTCTTGCCCAAGCCCTGTTGGTACAGTGGTTGGTGACAAGTTGGGTTGCTGACTGCCAGGTGAGCAGTTTGAAGCTGCCTGCTGCTCCTAGCCGCTCCTTGGGAGAGAATGAGCTGCATGAGTCTTTCCAAACCTAAGAGGAGCCCTGGCGGTGCAGTGGTCAAACACACTGGTCTGCTAACTAAAAGGCCAGTGGTTGGGGGCCACCTGCTGCTTCCAGGAGAAAGACGGGGGGTCTGCTTGTGGAGACTCACAGCCGTGGAAACCCTGCGGGGCAGGTCTGTTTGTCCTAGACGGTCAGCGTGAGGCGCAATCAATCTCTCCGCAGCCCAAACAAAAACCAGACCCACTGCCACCAAGTTGATGCACACTCTAGAGCTACCCTGCAGGGCAGGTTAGAACTGCCTCGTGAGTTTCTGAGACTTAACTCTTTGAGGGAGTAGAAAGCCTCCCTCGGAGCCGCTGGTGGTTTTGAACTGCAGACCTTTCTGATCACAGCCCAGAGTTACCATTACGTCACCAGGGCTCCTTTTGTCGACAGCAGGTGTGGGTTTTGGTTTGGGTCTAACCCAGGGCCCTTTCCAACGCAAAACTGGAGGAAAGCTGGACAAAGCCACGTTAGCGAGTGCTGGGTGGTGGTGGTGCTCGCGCTGAGAGGGGGGTGGGCTGCTCCTGGCATTGGACCAGAGCAGGAAGAGCGGCTCAGCCAGCTGTGACTGACACTGGACCCCAAAGGGGTGGAGGTCCCTCTCCGGTTTCACAAGCCCCTTCCTGGGCTCTCAGAGCCTGCCTTTCCTGCGCTCAGTGACCCCTCCAGGGGTGCAGCTCCTCACGTGCAGGTGTTCGCAAAGCCTGTGGCCACCTGCACAGGGT